CGAGCGAACAACGTTCTTCAAGATTACACTATATCCATTCCGAGTCCGAGATCTGCTGCCCGGCCACGGTCCTGTTCCAGGATCACACCCAGTATGCGGCTCAGCTCTCGTATCATCTCAGTTTGACTGTTGATCACTCTGCAGATCTCATTACCGTACCCGGCAGCCTTGAAATGGCCAAAACGACTGCTGGTATCTTCCGAAATTTTCAATAAGCCAGGTATCCGCCAACTCCAATAAGCAGAAACCCTGTTATCATGACTCCAATCATGTACACATCTTCAACATCCTCGACTGACGGCATCGTCAGACACACGGTCTTCCACTTCCATCCAGAATCCATCGTGTATCCAGTGAAGAATGTCCCGTCGGGACACGAAGGTTCCCCTTTACCCGGTTTCCCAGTGGAAAAAAAATTCTATCAGTTGGGTTGAGAGACCAGCTGACCAGATCCATAATTTGCAACTTTGGAAGCTTTTCAAAAGAAAGATTCTGAAAACATAGGACACAGACGCTGAGGAGGGAATATGGGGAGGACAGGAGGACAGGGAGACGGAGAAGGTGCGTCCTCCTCCTTCGAAGGACAGAGCAGAAAAGTGTCTTGGCTGAGGACACGTCAAGCCAGCATTGGGTGAACTGGTTGCTGATGGTTGCTCTCACGGCCTCTTCAGGGCTAGCAGTCGATAGTGACAGCTTCCTGTTCCTATTCCAGGTCACAGTCTGACCTCTGACCCCTCCGAGGAGCAGCAGGAGCGCCATGCAGGGCAGAGCAGCAGAGGCAGGGCCGTCCCCACTGACAGAACGTGGTGACCTCATCAACACCCACAGGCCGGGGGCGGAGCCTCCTCAGCAGCTGGATCCCCGAGCCCTGTGGCTGTGGGCGGAGTCTGGAGGCGGGGCCTGCTGCGAGACCACCTTCATCGAAAGCCCCTCCCCCATCTGTTGCTCAACCGGATCTTCCAGGGAGACGCTGCGATGCTCTGACAGCAAGTTACTGGAACTCAGTGGAGACGAGACCAAGATTCCCCCGATGACCTTTGACCGGGTTGGGGACGAGGAGTTGGAGGTCAGCATCCATCCATCATCCATCATCCATCATCCAGTGAGTCTGATGTAACCTGTGTGTGTATTGTGTGTGTGAGCAGAGCGATTTCTCCAGCGCCTCCTCTCAGAGCGATGACGCCTTCCTGCTGCTTCCTCCCAGAGATCATCGGAGCCTCAGCGTTTTCTCCATGCTCTGCTGCTTCTGGCCGCTCGGCATCGCTGCCTTCTACCTGGCGCACCAGGTGAGGGGGCGGAGCCTGGCTGGGCGGATGTTGTGTTAACCTGTGACCTCCTGCAGTTTCTTCTTCTCTTGTTGCTGCTCACTCCCCCCTTCCCGCTCCGGTTGCTAAGTAACCGCTCTGCAGTCAGCCCTACTGAGCGTGCTCAGTACGTGCTTGTTGCCAATAGTAACACTTTGAATAAACTTTATTCTCCTTCCAGACCAAAACAACGGGCGCCAGCAGTTCACACACTGTGGGTTCTGGTTCTGATGGTTCTGATGTGAAGGTTTGGTTCTGACCCAGTGGGGTCCAGAGTCTGTCCTGGTGATGTAACTTCCTCCTCAGCATGTCGGTGTTCATCTGATCCAGGTGTGTTAAACCAGGAAGAGAACTACAACATGGACGCCGGAACGTCCAGGACCTACTCTGGATCCCTCCAGGTCAGAACCGGGTCAGAACCTTCTGGTGGAATCAGAAAACAGGCTTTTACTTTTCTGAACTGGTCATTGACATTTATTTTGAAAGTCCAAATAAGTGGGAAAATATGGAGTCAGCATGGTGGGTTATTGGCTACAGTTCATCGTGAGCGTTGCCATGGCGATGGACGGCGGTGGGGGGCTACCACCAGAACCCAGTGTCCCACCACAGGGTCGTGACCCCTGTTTCTGTCCGCAGACCAGCCGGGCGGTGTCTACAGGTGACCTCCACCTGGCCGGCTCCACCTCCAGGCGGGCGCTCTTCCTCGCCGTTCTCTCCATCACCATAGGAACCGGGATCTACGTGGGCGTCACCGTGGCGCTCGTCGCCTACCTGTCCAAGAACCAGAAGTGGTAGCCATGGCAACAGCAGCTGGATCTGGAGCGAGCCTCGGGGGTTCTACGGGTTTTTGGACATTTGTGTCTCGTCTGGTTCTGGATTTTTCTCTGAAGGTTTTTGGATGTTTGTAAACCTTCATCATCATCATCATCATCTGGTCCAGACGGTTCCGATTCCCACTGGGAGGTTCTGGTTGCTCTAAACTGAATCTGGGATTGTTTTCCCTCTGCAGCTGGTTCTGGTTCTGGTTCAGTTCTGGTTCTGTTCACGGAGCTCCCGGTTCTTGACTTGATGGAACTGGGTTGTTTTTCACAGTGACACAGGCCAATGGTACCGGACCGGCCCAGCAGAACCATGTGGGCTGGGTTTCCCTCATTCAGCTGTGGACGACTGGTCCAGAAGGTTCTGCAGCTCTGACCCTGATGCAGGTTCTGTTCAGGTTCTGTTCTGTGGCTCTGAGAGGGAGCCACGCTGCCACGTGAGCGTCCAGAGCCGGACCCGACCCGACCCGGTCCCCCCCGGTGTTTCTTCCTGCGTCAGCAGAACTAATCTGTCCTCTGAGCTCATTAACGTCCTGATCCGTTTAGCTGCTGCTAATATGGGCCAGAACCAGCAGAACCAGAACCATCAGGTTCTGCAGAATGTCCAGAGAACTCAGAATGTCTGATGAGGCTGTGACCTTTGACCCAGGTGCGGCCCGAGTTCTGGAGCCGTTTTGGGCCGATCCTCTCCAGAACCGGTCTCCTGTGGTTCTGTTCATGACCCATTTAGCTCCATTTTGTTCCTAAATAAATGTATTTTTAAATACTTGATCCTTTGATCTGAACGTCATTAAAGTCTTTGTTGCCGCTGACCTCTGACCTCTGGAAGCAGCTGGAAACAGACGGATCCAGTTGGGATCCTCTGGATCTCCAGGACAGAACGCCTCTGGAGCAGCCTGGCTGAGGAGGTTCGTCTCCATGACAACGGTCTCCGGCTCGGCAGCGCCACCTGCAGCTCATTTGGATGATGCTGAATAAAGACGAAGACGCTGATTGGTTCTGGACTTTTTATTCCTACAGAGTTTCAGTTTGACTACAGGAAGCTTCGCCCTGAGCGCCGCCTGCCAGGCGCCGCAGACAAGCAGCTGGGACAGCGCCGATCCAGCAACACCACAAACACCACTCTGACATCACTTCCTGTTACAAAGTCACCATTTCTTGTGAAATGGGAACTTTCACAGGAAAGTTCCCATTTCCTGTGAAAATGTGATGTCAGTACTCAGGAAGTGCCGACATCATTTCCTGGGTGATGAAGTCATAGTCTGGCCAGCTGACCTCCAGCCCAGTGACATCACTTGTTGAAACTTGTCATTTACTATCTGCTAGCTAAATACTCTGACATCACTTCCTGTTACTCTGACATCACTATTTGCAATTATGGCATGACTTCCTGTTGACATCACTTCCTGCCTGCTGCTGTGCATCTCCAACAGAATACATGGAGCACAGCTCTGCATAAATTCCAGATGTGGAAGTGTTTACCTGCACAGGTGAGTAGGAAGGTGACCTGCTCTATGGCTATCTGTTTCCATAGCAACACACCCAACCGGTACCAACCGGTACCGACCCGCCCGACCGTCAGCGACGCACAAACTAAAATCTGGGCGTTAAAAAAGAAATGTTTGGCAAGAATCCTCCAAAGCTGCGCCCCCTGCAGGAGAAACTGAGACACTGCAGCAGGAATCCAGGAGTCAGGGCTGCCATGTGGTACCAGCTGGTACTGGTCGGGCTCAGGTCATCTGGACCTCACATTCTGTTCAGTTAAAATGTTCTAGTGACAAATTTACAGTCTGGAAGGAAACACACACAGGGCAGGGTGTGTGTTCTGTGTGTGTGTGTTTTCTGCACATGCTCAGTAGAGTCCGTCAGTCCGGGAAGCAGCGCCTCCTCTCTCGGCACCCCGGCTCTAGGGGGAGCAGATGGCTGCGGTGGGGGAAGGGGATGGGAGACCTCAGGTTGCCAGTGGGCGGGGCTTCAGGTGGCAGTGACGTTGGGTGAGGTTCCGCCTTCCTCCACCTGGTTGGCGCGGCCGAAGGTCTTGACCTTGGACAGAAGGTCGGCCAGCGTCTCCTTGAAGCCTTTCTCCAGCAGCCAGCCCTCGCTCTCACACTCCGGGTTCTCCGGGTCGGCCATCGTCTCCAGGGCTGTGCTCAGGTACTTTAGGCCCGCCACGTCCCCCGCCTGGTGCCCACACACACACACACACACACACACACACACACACACACACAGAGGACAGATCAACATGGTTCAGCTCTGCACCAACCAGCAGCTTCCTGTTCCTGCAGTTTTCAGTTTTCTGAACCAGGAGCACAGGCCCCCTCTGCCCTCCCTCCCCCTCCAGGTGAGCTCAGGTGTGTCCTTCAGCCAGTAACTTCAAGTGTTGAACTTGTTGTTCTGACCCAGATAACGGGCCTCTTAGGCAATGTCCCTGTCTTCCCAGAATGCACCCTGTTGCGGCAGATTAACCCCCCAGGAATAGTTTCTGCCCCCCAGGCAGATTACCTGCAGCAGCTCAGCCTGGACTCGGCTCTCTAGTCAGTCTGAGTCGCTGACGGACTGGACTCGGACTGCGGTGGGTTTCCGTGACCGGTCCGGTTCAGAAGCAAACATGGCGGTAAATCTGATTAACGTGGCGGCGTGCCGGGTCACCTGGTGCCGGTTCGGTCCAGGTGTTCTGACGATCATCTTGTTTTAAATGGAGGATTAGGAACACAGCTGATCCTCCATGAACCCGTCCACGGGTTAAAGACAGCAGCTGGACGAGGCAGGCAACCGGTTACCATGGCAACAGACCGTCAGGCCCAGATCGATGGTTCTGTTCTGGTTCCAGTTGACTTTTGGTTCTTTTAATGTGTTCTGTCCGAAAAGCCAGGTTAACTTTCACAGGTGGAGCGTTGCAGGTACATCAACCCGCCAGCAGGAGGCAGGATCATTTCACTCCAACTACCTGAAAACTTCCCCAGGATGCAGCAGAGGACGAACTGGAGCGGCACGCTGCAGTTAGCATGTTAGCATATTAGCTGATGAAGGCTGGCTTTGAGACTTCATCAGTGGAGGTTTTCATCCACAACTTTCACCATCAGAGGCAGGACCAGCTGAAAATAGAGGCTGCCTGTTAGCATGCTAAGAACTATCATTAGCATGCCAGCGCTAACTTTAAAGCAGTTATTTTTATGTACATGGGTTCCTTTGCCAGCGCAAAGGACGAGTTTTAAAGTTTGTTCTGTGAAGAATGAAATCCAATTAATAACCTCGCCTTGTTAGCTTAACATGCAAGACTAATGTAATGCTAACTTTAACATGCTAAGGCTAGCTTCAGGATGTTTATGACTCTGAATGTTATAGCGATATAAGTTTCTTTCTTTCTAATGTTTCCTTTGATGCTGTGAAGCAGTTGAACTGCCCTGCTATCCCATGCTAACCATAGGAACTCGTCTTGTATCAACGTCACCAACGGATCGAGCCTGTTTTAGCAGGAAAGGAGACCCTACGGTTTGAACGAGAAACGATGCAACTTCCATGAAAGAAAAGCTTAAAATAAGCTAACGAGCTTGGTGGGTCTTAGATCTTGAAACCAGACAGAGGAGGCCATGATGAGCTGTAACTCATTATCCATTTGATTTGATTGACATTTACTTCCATAACCCTCTCATTCTACATTACAGAAGAGTTTCTGAATGTTTGCCTCTATCTGCTGCTACAGCAGTAGCATGCTAATGCTAATCCTTAATGTTAGTCTGTCAGGATTATTTTGTGAAGGTTTTTGCTCCAGTAAACGACTTTGAACAGACTTCTGAATGAATAGTACAATACATTGGTGGACACAGCTAGCTAAAAGGTTAGCTGCACTAACCCAAAGCACTAATAAACTTTAGTTTAGCTAATGCCACGGGATTTAACGAGCTAAAGTTAAAGTGCTAGACAGCATGGTATTTAGCAGAAGCTAATGCTAAAGTACTGAATCCAATCATGTTGAAATCCTGCATGTATGATGAGCAGAACATGAAGAAACTGCCAAAACTGTTCATATGTGAACGACTGTATCTAAATATCACCCTGGTTCATGTCCATGCGTTTTTCTTTTAGTTTGTTTATTGTCAATTGCTAAATAAAGTTTCTTGAAAAAAAGGGAACGCAACAACAGGAAATGGAACTGCTGCATCTAAAACCACTTCAAAGTAAGAGTTGAGTATAAATGTCTAACTACCAACAATTGATAACCAAAACGTCAACATAGATGTTGAACTTTATTCAGATAAAATTTGACAAAACTGAAGGAAATTTGTGCTTTAGAATTTGTTACCAAAAATGCTGAATTACAAAATGAAAATCTAATAACTAAACCTGCTAACATTAGCCTCAACTTGCTGAAGTAAGACGAACCTTAGCCTGCTAAGCTAACAGCCAGCTGAGATGTCCAGGGTGTTTCAGTGGCTTGAAGCCTAAAGCTAATTTATAGCCACTGTTAATAAATCTATAATGGTTTTATGTAAATATATCAAATAGTGTTCAGCAACTTGCTAACAAAGACTCCTAAAGCAGAGCTCTGTGAGAACAGCAGATCAGCAGTAACAGCTCATAGCCACCGTAAAGCACGGTGGAGGAGGGATGATGATGTGGGACAGTTTGTGGCTAATGGATTCCTGATAATGAACCTACAGTTTTGACTGACCAGCGAGAACCAGACAGGCGTCACGACACTTCACTTACTCCAGTTCTGTTCCTTTAAGAACGCACGTGGCTGGCGCCGGAGGCTGATTGGCTGCGGCAGTGTGGGTGGGCGGAGCCTTACCTCCAGGACCATGGTGAAGATGAGCAGCGCTCCGATGCTGTTCATGATGCCGCTGTAGTAGGAGAAAACGGCCTGGCGGCAGCCGCGGTTCCAGATGTTCAGCTCCTCGGTTCGGTGGTCGTAGTCGTAGTGGGCGGAGTTATTGGTCAGGTGATGCTGGATGCAGGGGCGGGGCGAACCGGGATTACAGCAGCTGAACGGGACGCTGTCCATCAGGTACTTCCCCTCCACGTTACTGAGGACACGGCTGAGGGACAAACACAGGTCAGACCCTGCCGGGTCTTACAGGGCTCTGCTGAGGTATGAGATGAGAATCATGGAGGGTTCCTCATGGAAGGCTGACCTTCCAAACTGAACATGTTCAGACTGACTCAACCAATCGGCACAGAAAATACAAAACTTTTAAAAATCAGTGAAACGTTGCAGCAGCAGGGAGGTGAAGTTCTGGTTCTGGTTCTAGCCCCCCAGAGCCTTCACACCTCTGGTCATGTTATCAGAGCTGATTGGTCCTTCAGTACCTCCAACCACTTCGTGCTCCACCCACCAGGACCCCGGAACTCCTCCAGAACCCCAGCAGAGACCCAGACCGCTCCACGGTGAAACTGGTGACCTCTCACCTGAAAACGGTCCTGAACTAATCAGTTCAGGATCTTCAACCACCTTCTGCTTTTTTATTATTGCTGTGATGACATCATCAGTTTTATGCAGATTAAGCTCTGTTTGAGTTTCACTTTCTAACGGGTCGGGTCTGCTGCAGAACGGCCCCCTGCTGCTGGGAACTTTGACCTCCTTAAGCCCAGATTGATCCCCTGCTGAGTCCCTGAACAAACAATCCACCTGCAGCTTTACCTCACCAAGGAACTAAAACCAGCCCAGATTCTCCGTCGGAACCCGACCTGCTGTGTTCAGGTACTCACTCTTTGACCACGTCGTTGCTCATGTCCAGGTAGCGGTTGCTGATCCACTGCACCTCGAACCAGTCCCTGAAGTTGTTGTTTCCGCAGCACCGGAACTCGATCTGAGTCATGTCCAATGTCCGCTTCATGAAGCAGCGTCCTGGCGTGTCCGTGTCCTTGTAGAAGCGGATGGCGTTCTTCAGGCCCTCGGCCAGCGTCAAGTACACGGCGAACTGCATGAGAAAGCAGAGCAGCACCAGCAGCAGCAGCAGCGCGTTGAAGCCGCAGCACAGCAGCATGTAGGGCCGCAGCATCGGCTTCATCTTGGAGAACTTCTGGGGGTCCAGAGAGTCATGGCACAGCTTCCCCCCGAAGGCGTTCAGTCCGCAGGACAGCATGCCGACCAGGATCAGCAGGTTGGGCACCAGATGGCTCTCGTTGTTGTCCATGATCTCGCTCCTCTTCCTCAGCTCGATCTTGAAGAAGATGCCGAGGCTGAAGAGGATGATGCCCACAATGACGGCGAGCCAGTAAAGCATCCAGAGACCCTGAGCCAGCTTGACCCGCTTCTGCAGGTTGAACTTCAGCGACAGGAACGGCATGGCGTCAGTTCACAGCGACTGTCCTGAACAGGTCTGCAGAACCACGAGACTCAGAGCTGCAAACCGTCCCAGGAGGAGCTCAGGAACTGGACCGCAGGGCTCTGAGTCATGATGGAGAACCGACAGCAGGAACCAGCGCGGAGCGGAGGTGTGAATGTGAGCGGCAGCCTGGCGTCCTGCTAAAGCCGCTCCTGATCTGATTAGCAGCGGATCATCTGAGGCTCTAATCCTCCAATTACTGCTAATGGGTTTGGAGCTAAGCAGCAGCTTCCTGTCAGACGGCTCACCTGGCCCCGCCCCCGCACAGGTGAGGCCCAGCAATCCGCACTCTAAATCTGAGGATGGTGTTACGCAGAGGCGCCGATTTATGTTTTCGCATCCACCTGAATAATGTGCAGTTGCACCACTGTGTGACCATGACAACACGCTGTCAACAGTAAACACGTCATCATCTTTGGCGCCACCTCCAGGGTTGGACGGCTCTTCAGTCCATCAGAGGACAACAGGACAGACCGGACCGTCGCCATGCCGAACACAATGTAGCAGGCAGAGCTTTCCTGGTAGTCATGGTGACCACCCCAAGAAGACACTCAAAATAAGTCCAGGTCCACTGCCACCAAATGACAAGTCTGGCTAACTGTGGGCGGCCAATGTCCCACAATGTCCCTCTGTGTCCTCCTGCTGCGCCTGGATTTGGGCTCCGGGCCTCCAGGACCCACTTTGGGCTCCTCTGCCTTAAAGGATCTCAGGGTTTCGGCTCTTCTGCAGTTTGTTCCAGATTTGTGGTCATAGAAGTTGAAAGCTGCTTCTACATGTTTGGCTCTGTGGACCAGAACCAGCAGACCTCAGGTCAGCACGTTTACCCAGCAGCAGTCTGGCTGAAGCTCCTTCCTGGTTTTAGCCAGAACCCGACCCAACTGGACCGGACCGGTCCGCTCGCTTGACCCGGAGCTGCTGCATCCAGCAGACAGACTGGTTCCAACAGTCACCGGAGCTGGACCCGATCAGGAAGAACAAGCTTTTTTCTGGAACATTCGCACAAATTATCCAGGCTGAAACCCTGGAAGGTTCTGGACCCACCTGAACCCGTCCTGTTCTGACAGAACCTCCATCTTGGCTTCAGCCGAGCCCTCTGGGTCGTAACTTATTTTATTTTTTAAACTTTGTTCAGGAGAAAAACCTAAACTAAAAATGGATCATGATCAAATTAACCAAATATTCTGTAAACCGGGTCGGTACCAACCGACCACCAGAACACTGGGCGTCCATCTTGTCCAGCGACAGATAGACGTAGAACCGGAGCAGAACCGAGGAGTCAGCAGGTCCGGTCCTCCATAACCACATCAGAACCAGATGACTGGCTGTGGACCTAGCCCGGTTCTGACCCGGTTCTGGTTGGGTTGTTTGGTCAGTAACTGGACTCAGAGGTTCTTTAAAGCCCATTTTATTGGTTCTGTTCTACAGGTTAAAGTGACATTACCAAGACGGAGCATCAGCCGGACCCAGTCCGGTTCTGGTCCGGTTCTGACGCTCCGCCTCCCCAAACTCAAACACACAAACGGGAAGTGATGTCACACGCTCACCTCGTTAATTAAAACATTAAAGCGGAAGTGAATAAAACCCGATCAGACTCGGCTCATCGACCTGGTTGCCATGGAGACGGTGGACCAACGGCGTCGTTCGCACAGTTCTGGCTTCCGATTGGCTGAAGTTTTCATAATGATGTCTCAGGGAGTAAGCCGATTACTGTCACCTGGGTTGCCATGGAGACCCAGTCTATCAAAATGCAATGTACACCTGACATAAATCACCTGACCTCCAGCCAATCACGACAACTCCTGAAGAGGTGATGTCTGATTGGAGGACTGAGGGGGAAGAGGTGACAATCAGAGGTCAAAGGTCAGGATCCGAACACCCTAAAAAATCCCTGAAAGCTGCTCCGACTTCAGGTTGCAGCTGCAGCGAGCTGATTGGTTCAAAGAGGTTCGTTAGTGGGCAGGGCCAGTCCGCGGTCACAGGTGCTGCCAGTCGATGGCAACCAGCGTCTGATTGGCCTCCTGAGCATGACCTATGACCTCAGCAATGCCGTGCTGCCGCCACAGACGCTCGATCTTCTGATAGCGCTCTGAGCAAAGGTGGAGCGGGTTCCCACGCCTGCAGGGAACAAATAAAAATCAATTAATCAATAATCAGATGATCCCGACTTGACTCCATCCTGGTTTCATCCGTTCAGACCAAACCAGGATTCATGAAGTTTATTCAGCAGACCAATGAGATCGATCACAGATTCACTGATGCTACGCTACGTTCCTCACACCAAACCAACGTCTTAATTATTGATGAGTTAAAGCAAATCAGAATAAAGGAAATAAACAAAAGCAGATCGACTGAATGTGTATTTACACCAAAATATACATTTCCAAATATTTGTTTAGTAAAAACAAATACTATAATTCT